AACTATAAAATGCGAGGACCATGCTCGTTTGCTTAGGTTCAGTCCCCTTAGTGATGAAAAAATTAGATCTCTAATTTTTCTATTTCTCATACCAACCAAAAAAAAAAAAAAAAAACTACTGAAGACACAAAAATCGAATCAGATGTGGAATACACAGGGAATTTGGGGTTTTGTCAACCTCAACTCTCTGTGCTATGAGGAGATAGGGTAACAGCATTAGTAGTACTGTGCAGTATAAAGGGGTCTTTCTTCATTGAAAGCGGGGGCAGAGTTTCCTGCTTTTAAGGTCTCGGCCGTCCTTGAGTACCGCACTGCCTTTTTTCATCTCTGAGGAAATTGGTGGCGCATTTAGGTGAACAGAGGAAAGGAAAGGGGTAGGCAGAACAAGAGATTTCGCTGGAGATTTTGTCGAAATTATTATTTCAGCGCATTTAAAGCTCCCCTGCCAAATCTTTGAACCCAGAATTCTTAAAACTCTGCTTTTCCATCTTTATTTGTGTACTCACACTTCTGCCGTTCTCAACATAAACAGGGGTTTTCAGGTATCTTGGAAAACTTGTTAGAATGGCTTTTTTTTCCTTTTTTCCTTTGTTTATTTTATTTTGGGATTTCTATGGAAGCTTTATCTTTTTTCCAAGTTTTGGAAGAAATTGTGTGTTGGATCTGGGATACTAGTATATTGGCTCTCGCTTTCTTGGGGTTGGGTTTTTTATCATGGTTTTTGTCTCATTTACTGTCTTTTATGTGTTTCAGATCTACTAGGATTTAGACGTGAGGAAACCAAGACAATGTTGCCACAGAAGCAAGCAGAGGAAGCAATAGTCTCCAACTTCAGCGAGGCAGAACATGAACCCAAGGAGGATGCGGAGAAGGGAGAAGAACAAAGTTCAATGTTCAGTGTCAAGAGCCTGCTCTGGCACGGCGGTTCCGTCTGGGACGCCTGGTTCAGCTGCGCCTCCAATCAGGTGGCGCAAGTGCTCTTAACACTCCCCTACTCTTTTTCCCAGTTGGGTATGCTCTCCGGAATTCTCCTCCAGGTCTTCTATGGCTTAATGGGAAGCTGGACTGCCTACCTCATCAGTGTGCTCTATATTGAGTACAGAAGCCGCAAAGAGAAGGAAAACGTCAGCTTCAAGAACCATGTGATTCAGGTCCGTTTTCCTCCTCCCCACCCGATCACTACCGCCCCCTCCACCACCGCCACATAAACTTAATCTTTACTGTTTTCATTTGCAGTGGTTTGAAGTACTTGATGGATTGCTGGGTCCATATTGGAAGGCAATTGGTTTAGCCTTCAACTGTACTTTCCTCTTATTCGGATCTGTTATCCAACTTATTGCTTGTGCAAGGTAAAGCCGTCTCCTTCACAATTTTTCATGTAAGTAGCCTCAATTTTAGCAAAATCTGAAACTGGGTTTTATCCATTTTTGCTTAACAGTAACATTTACTATATCAACGATCATTTGGACAAGAGAACATGGACCTATATTTTTGGAGCCTGCTGCGCCACAACAGTGTTCATACCCTCCTTCCACAACTACCGGATTTGGTCTTTCCTTGGCCTTGGGATGACCACTTATACGGCGTGGTACATGGCCATCGCCGCCCTGATCCACGGCCAGGTCCAAAATCAGAGAGAAATTTCAATTTTCAACGCATCTCTCTTTGTTCTTCCAAATTCGGTGGTTAATTAAGGTTTGTTTGATTAAATACTATATTCCGATTGTTCAGGCTGAGGGCGTCACCCACAGCGGCCCGACGAAGCTGGTGTTGTACTTCACCGGAGCCACCAATATCCTCTACACCTTCGGTGGCCACGCGGTCACTGTGTAAGCCTTTTCTCTCCTCCCAATCACATTACTGTCTTCTTTTCTTCTGTTTTCTTCCGGCGTTGTTTCCATTCGGCTTCTCTCTGCAGCTTTGGCCAGCTATCTTGGGGGTCGAGACCCAGACAATATCATGCAATCTACTTTAGCTTTGTTCGGTTGCAAAAGAAAACATTAGATCAATCATCAATCCACAGTCTTCCCCATTTCTCTAGTGTGAAATTGGACAGAACAGTGTTCTTCTGATCTGTTCGTGGACCACTTTTTTGTCCTTTTCCCGTTGAATTATTATTACCCAGTAAAAAACAACAAATGGTCAAATTGTTCATTCCATCTAGCTGGTAATCAAGATTAATTAATACTAATCTCTTTTGTTTTTGCAGGGAAATTATGCATGCCATGTGGAAACCCCAGAAATTCAAGTACATTTACCTGCTGGCCACATTGTACGTTTTTACCTTGACGATCCCCTCCGCCGCTTCCGTTTACTGGGCCTTCGGAGACGAGCTGCTCAACCACTCCAACGCTTTCTCCCTCCTCCCCAAGACCGGATTCCGCGACGCCGCTGTCATCTTAATGCTCATCCACCAGGTCAAAATCCAATCATTTCTCCCACAATTTTTTAACTTAATCTAAAAATTAATCAATGATTAGTAACATTAATAATTTTTTAGTGAAAAGCTGACATTGTTCTTGTTTTTTGTACAGTTTATTACGTTTGGGTTCGCGTGTACTCCATTATACTTCGTGTGGGAAAAGGTGATCGGAATGCACGACACCAAGAGCATATGTTTAAGGGCATTAGCCAGACTGCCCGTAGTAATTCCAATCTGGTTTTTAGCCATAATATTCCCGTTCTTTGGACCCATCAACTCCGCCGTCGGCGCCCTTCTAGTTAGCTTCACCGTCTACATCATCCCCGCCATGGCCCATATGCTCACTTACAGAAAAGCCTCCGCTCGCCAGGTTAACGTTTTAAAATAAAAAAACTGGTGGAAAGAGAGTGTTACCGGAATTATCTAGTAATTAATTTACAAAAAGTTTAATGTTTGATTATCATTTTGATTTTGCAGAATGCTGCTGAGAAGCCACCGTTCTTCATGCCAAGCTGGACAGCAATGTACGTGTTTAACACCTTTGTGGTGGTGTGGGTTTTCGTGGTCGGATTTGGCTTTGGAGGATGGGCCAGCATGACCAACTTCATCAAGCAAATTGACACGTTCGGGCTGTTTGCTAAGTGCTATCAGTGCAAGCCTCCAACACCACCTGCCGGAGCACTGGCGGCGGCACCCCATTGAAGCGACGGACATCCTACTTAGAGAAGAACAGAAAACCAAGTGTCTCTGTATCATTCATGGGGAGAGATAGTAATATTTCCCCTACATGCGATGTGTGCTGGATTTTGCCTTCTTTTTTTTTTTTTTTTTTTTTTTTTGGGGTTTATTTAATTTAGTTGATAAAATAGTATGTTTGAATTTGTTATGATTCCTTTGTTCTCAAAACACAGGCCTAATTAAATTAGATAATATAGTTTAATATTCAAAATTTCCCCATTGCCCTTCTCATTATTACTAGCAAAAAAGAATGGCATCTCTACTTCAACGTATATATAACAACAAATAAATAAATAAAAATAAAAAATCATGAATTCAAACTAAATTATGGATTCGAGTTATATGCATACTTAAAGAAAAATCAAAAGTCATGGTATGGGCTTATATACTTGTTTAATGGGGGCATTGTCTTGATTTCTAAGGGTAGCATTTTAAGATGATTGAACTATGTTCCACCCACCAATAGTTTACGCTGAGGGTTGGAGATGGCCATGGGTCCTCTCCCACCATTCACATGGCCTGCACTTTGCCTCATCTGTTTGTCACGTGCCACTCTTTACTACTCCTAACAAAATATTCCCACCATGTGAACATACATGAACCTCCCCTCAATGTGGATTCATCCTTAATCAACATCTCTGATTTGATTAATTTCCCATTATCTTGCTTCATTTGATTTCCTCTTTTAATTAATCATGTTGCACATGGAGCCGATTGTTAGGCCTCTTTAAATATTCCAAGATGAAAAAGTTTGGACATGTCCCCAGTGGCTTTGTTGGCTAACCAATTAAACTCCCATCACCACGAATTTTAAATTTTAATCAAACCATAGTATTGGTATTCCTTTGATTCATTAGTAGGGAGAATAAGCTGAAATTCAGGAAATCTTGGATTTGAGTTCAATTATTCAAAATAACTGGGAATCTTGACTGATTTAGTCATATTCATCATATTCTTTTTTATTATGTAACTGATTAAGATTAGATATGCTGGTGTTAACATGTCAAAAATGTATGAAATTCAATGTAAATTCCCGAAATAAGAGGTACATCAAGTTACCATTTTAAGAAGGCAATTATTAAAATCTAGTGGGATTAGATGCTTGGGATATAAGCATCCCAAAGGGTTGGATTAAAGTAAGATGCTACACTAAGGAAGTTCTTTACTTAGACTAATAATGTTATGTACATGTGAAAGCTACAATTTCAAAAAATTACATGTTAGTCTCATCATGCTTGGATCTAAATCTTTGTTTCGGTAACTTGAGATTTCAGTCATCAGATGGCAACATAAAAGTTGTTAATAAAGAGTAAATCGAACTAATAAAGCCCAAGCCCTTCTGCTGTTCTGTGTCTTCTTTGGGCCCCATCCTGGGCATCAATTTTAAAAGCCCAATTTGATTGTTAAAAAGTTGAAATTATTAATTATTGATTAACAGGCTTTGATTGGACTGGGCCTAAAACTGAAAAATTCACGGTAAAGGATACATGAACTGAAATCATGAACAGCCGCCGGCCGGTCACCAAGACCTTGTACTCACCGCACTGTCATGGCGTCGGTTACACTCCAAGCGGCACCGGTCGTCACTTTATCGCCTAATCGTCCTTCTTCTTCTTCTGCTCCGATTTCTCGCATTTCGTTTTCTAATTCTGAATCCCTCGGAACTCTCCTCACAATTTCGACTTCATCACTTTCGGTCTCCACCGCTCCCTCTGCATCAACGCTGTTCAGCAAGTCTGGAAATCAACTGAAATTCTTGCTTTTGTACGTTTCGAAGATTACAATTGGTTATGACTTCTGATTCCGCTTTCGTTGTCTGCTTCTTCAGTGTATTGCGGCAGAGGCAACCGGAAAACAGCGAAAGGAAAACGGTTCAATCACTCCTTCGGCAATGTGAGAAACAACTGTTTTTTATATAATTTTTCATTTTGTTTGTAAGATTTAATGGTGAATTTCGTTCTGAATTTAATTGATGGTTTAGTCGAGGCCGAGGGACAAGAAGAAGGGGAGGGGACCGCCAAGGGTGCCGATGCCTCCATCGACTGTGAAGAAAGATAGGTTCGATGATGATGATAAGGCCGAGATCGGAACTGATGAGTAGTCCTGTTTAATCCCCTCTCTCTGTTGTAAGTTCCAAAACAAAACCGAATTTTCTTCCTTTTTCTGTACTAAATCTTCTTGTTGTAGCATTGCATTGTTAGATTTTGTTATAGAGTAAGTAACTCAGTTCTTAGTCTTTGTGGTTAAGCAATGGCTTAAGCCTTAAAGGTCTTAGTAGTAGTGTCTTAAGCGAATTTATATAGACTAGGAGGGTAGTGTGGATCTTAACTAAGCTAACAATGAGAACCATTTGGAGAATTTGATCCTTTGGTGAATGGGGTTCTCTTGATTTTTTTTTTAAAACATGTTGCATACAGTCATATTGGAAAAATAGAAAAATAAAACATAAACAATCATATCAATCTGTATTGCACATCTAGAAGGGATTGAAGTGAAGTTTGAAAAAGTTCCTCAAAAGGAGAGGTTTATTGATCATGTGTCTGCTGGCAAACTATACAGTGATCTGAGATTAGTTTTTCCATGATGCTTCCCTCTTCAATTATTAATTCTCTGGTTCTGTGGTTCCATAGATGTATTGCATAGCTGCTTGTGCTGAACTCAAGCAGCATTTCTTCCACCCTTTTCAATTCACTCTCTGTCTCTGGTTTCTTGAAAAGCCTGACAATTTTTATCCAATCTATTGGATAAAATGTCTTTGGTGGCAAGATTGTAAAGTTGCGACCAGGCATGTCTTCGACACTTCTAGTTACTCTAGAGATTAGGTAAGGCCCATTATGTCCCCATTTACTTCCATCAAAAGCTGTGGCAAATTCCTCTAAGAAGTCATGTAGAATTGGATGATCAGCATCAAAAATCATGACTGCACCATTTAATCTGTTCCACTTCCCAGTTACTGTATTCATGCTCTGTGCCCCAATTGCATTTCTGAACTCTCTGAAATCTTTAAGAATGATGAAATCTACGTCTAGGTAAATTCCTCCATACTTGTACAGTATTGCAAGCCTGATCAGATTGGATAGATTATTGGATAATGGAATTGTACCTGGGTCTCTAGTCCCACTATTCATCTCATCAAGCCAAGCTTTTGCTGGGGTGTTCTTTAGTAGGAAGTGCAAGTCTGGTATGACTGCAAGAACTTTAAACCCACGATCCAGAAGTGGTTTCAGAATCATGTGTCCTTGTCTAGAATTGAGAGATGTTGATAAAATCATCAAGCATCCATTAGGATCAGCTTTGAACAGACTGTCTATAGTCGAGAATTCTCTTGGTCCAAAGGACTGTGCTGGTGAAAGCCATACCATGAAGTAGTGAGCACTACAATCTTTGTTGAAGAACTCCAAAACTTGATCATGAAACTTCTGCCTTGAGTTGTTTGCTTTGAATAACTTGAGTTCTGGACGTTTCCTTCGAAACCATGCTATTCTTTCTTCTTTAGTGATGTTGAAGGGGGGAACTAGAGGATCTATGGTTCCCATATCAACCTGTTCAATCTTCCCTTGTGTGGCAACCGGTGGCTTGCTGCCAAAAATTGATATGGTTTTGGGAGTTGCTTTTGCTTTGATAATTTCATTATTTTGAGTATCTGCAGGATATGTGGAAAGATGAGAGGTCAGGCTAATTGTGTAGGTGATAAAGAGTAGAGTAATAATGGGGATTATATAGAACATTGAAAGGGCTGAAAGAGTTGGTGGTTTGGCATTATGAAAAATTAGCTGGTACTTAAACATCCCTGCAAGCAAATTTTCCACCGTGTGAGAGATCAATTGGCATGATATCTTCCTTTAGGATACATATATTTAGGGGCATTTGATGAGATTAAGACAAGATTGGCACTGAAATAGCTGAGTATTTCAATAGAGAAAAGTAGAGCTACCTTTTCAGCAAGATAATATCAGCCAACTCTCCTTTGTGGCATTGAGCTCTGAAGTCCCAAATGAATAATTAGATTAAGGACCCCTCCCAAAACTTGAACCCTAATTCCTTTCAAGAGAAGCGAAAAATGGTAATTCTTTCTGTCAGGCCTCCACAGCCCCTTATCAGCAGGAAGCAAAGCTGTTATTTCTCATTTGAAATAGAACGATGTTCTTGGATCTTGAATGCCTAGTTGACAAACATTGATAGGAAGATTGTTTCACGTATTATTCATGTCATTAAGGAATTAATTGAAAATTAATATATTAACTAGGAGTTGTTGTCATCATATTTGATAGAATTCAGCTTTTGCACATTCAAAACAGGCATTTCCCTGATGTGATTGTAAAAACCTCTCACCTATTCGTTTTTCAAATTTAATTCTCCTCCTTACAAATTGTAATTCCTCCCTGATTATCAACATTGGGCAGTCATCAAGGGTTAGGCCAACCTTTTTTAGGATGTCTAAATTGTAGTGATAAATAATGAGAATTTTAAACATTGTTGGCTACCAGACATGACCCCTAATTAGTAATCTGTCAGCAATTTTTTTCATCTCATTTAAAGCCTGGATCCTGGAATAGATAGAATTCATTTCACCAGCTTGTATCCGTTAATTCCTTTCACTAATAAAAAAAGATTTGATTGCCCTTAGTCTCACAATGGTTACATAGCATTAAACAAGTTGATACAAATTGATTCACTCATTCTATCAAGTGAAAAGGAGCTCGTATGTAGGATTGCAATACTATATATTATTAGATAAGATTGTTGGTGAATCATTTCGCTAATCAAAATAAGCATCTTATGGCTTGCATAATTTTCATGATCCGCCATATTATGATTTGCTGTCTATTCCCTTTGTGAATCTTAAGAGTAATGAACTTCTCTTTGGTGCATTGGAATTTAGTTCATTGCATAAATTTGAACTCTTAACCTTAATTCCAAAGCAATGCTTTTATAATTAGTGATTATTCACTCAATTAAGATGTTGTTGGTAAAGCAACTATCTTAGGACGATACAAATGTGAACAAAAATAACGAGGATTCAGTAATTTCAGAATTGAACATTTCATAACAACTTCTTAAAACAATCAAATAATCATCCTTCCTATGTTTAAACTCAAAAAATAGAGGATGTTTGTATGAGGAACCCTAACCACAACTTATTCAAGAAACAGTGTAATAACAAGAAAGAAGAAAGCTCCAAGGTTTAATCCCTTCAGGGATCATATATGTGTTCACAAATGTTGCAGTGATCTGCAGTCAACCTCGCCATGACACTGCCCTCCTCAATCTTCAACTCCCTACTCCTCTTGTTCCACAAGTGCACCGTATAACTTCCACTGCTTATGTCAACCAGCGTCTCTTCCGCCCACTTCTCATCAGCCTCCGTCTCCGGTTTCTTAAAAAGCTTGGCTATCTTAATCCAATCCACTGGGTAGAACGCCTTGGGTGGAAAGATGGTTATATTATATTCTGGCTTATCCCTCACCCTCTCAAGAACTCTGGAAACCAGGTAAGGTCCGTTGTGTCCCCACCTGTTCCCGTTAAAAGTCGTGGCGTATTCCTGCAGAAAGTTGACGAGAAGTGGATGGTAGATGTCGAAGATCATAACTGCACCGTTTAATCTTGTCCATTTCTTGGTCGCCGGATTGATACTCTGCGCACCAATGGCATTCCGCAACCCTGATAAATCTTTCACGAAAATGAAGTCTGTGTCCAGGTAGACTCCACCGTACTTGTACAGAACAGCAAGCCGGATTAGATCGGAGAGATGGTTGAACAAGGGGATAGAACCGGGGTCCATGTTCCCGCTCTTCAGTTCATCAAGCCAAGCTTCCGCTGGGGTGTTCTTGACTAGGAACGGCAAGTCAGGGGTGACAGCAAGAATGTTGGATCCCCGGTCGAGAAGCGGCTTCAATAGCCTATACCCTTTTGGGGAATCCATGGAACTGGATAGAATCAGCAGGCATCCATCCGGGCTGGCGCTGAACAGACTGTCAACTGCCAGGAATTCTCTCGGTCCGAACGACTGCGCCGTTGAAAGCCACACCATGAAGAACTGAGCCGAACAGTTGTTGTTGAACAACTCCAGAACACGGCCGTGAAACTTCTCGCTTAACCTGTTTGATTTGAGAATTTCGAGCTCCGGTAGCTTTCCTCGGAACCATTCCATTCTTTCTTCTATTGAAGCTTTAGGAGGAGGAATCAGAGGATCTTCATTTTCGACTTCCTCTTCAATCTTTCTCTCTGTTATGCCCACGGTCAGCACCGTACTATTCAACGTTAATGGAAGCTGTACTTGTCCTTGTCCTTCGACCGCTGGATTACTAGTCATCTGTGGAGGTTGGAGAATATCATAGTTCTTAGTGGACAAACCAGAGATGAGGGTGTCTGCATACATGAAGAACAAAATGGCAGCGAATGCCAGAGTGGAGAAGATAGGGGATTTGGCGGCACGGCGGATCAGCCGGTCAGCCGGTGACTTCTTGGCCATCTTTCTCAAAGCTGCAATGGTCCAATGTTGAGAAAATTTACGTGGAGGAGACATGCTCGGACCCTAAAATAACTACATAAGATAATATATTATGTGGCATAATTAATTAATTTGCACAAAAAACATAATTGTTGACTTTAAATTAATTAATTAATTAATTAAAAATATGTCAACAATATTAAAATAAATGTTAATTTTTATTTTTTTAATATAAATTAATTAAAAATACATTTATTATATATTTAAATTGTATGAATTCACTTTGATTTTTAGTTAATTCGCTCAAGTTTCTGTATTTATAAGATTGCAATTTGAAATGGACATTGCAGTTATGTTGATGCATTTCCAAATTTGACTTTGTGAATCATATTTCCTAATAATTTTCCTTGCCACATTTATTCTGGTTGGTCAGGTAAATCTATTAATTAATTAAGAAGATGTTTACTTATGTATTTAGCTTTCACTTTCTTTGATTAGAAGTCAAATCTATTTCCCTCACAAGGTAGCATTTCTGTGTCATTGGTTATTGTTAGGAATTGATATATTTGCAATGAATCTACTTAGTTCTTTAAGATCTTATGTAGTTGGTAAAAAAAAATTTTATATTAAGATTAGTACTTTTCTTGATCCTTTATATGATAGCTTTTATTTTTAAATTATATGTGTCTTTAACTAATAATTTAAATTTTTAAGTGAATTGATTATTAATCTTTACATTAAGAATTCTGTATCGAATCTCATCTTTAATAAAAAGAAGGGAAAGGGATGTTCTCTTTTATGTGTTACGAATCATATGGATTAAAAGAAACAAGTTTATTTGATATCCAATGTTGGGGACGACCGTGCTGGTGTCAACTACACAAAATTACTTCTAAAGTGACCTTTTTTGAAGATATTATACATTTATACCACGAAGTATCCTAAAGTTAATACATGATTGATATACCTTTATATATCTATTGAAAACAGCTGAATTAAAGGGGTTTGCTTTCCTTTCCTGAAATAAAATATATGTTAAGTACTATTGCTTATAATTATTCCAATAGTACTGAAAGCAATGTTGCAATAATCATTCAGATATCAGCACTCAAACAGAGTTATTCTGAGTTATAAAAGCACAAAGTGACTGGAATCCAATAATTTTAAACATTGATGCTTGCCTGAAATGACTCATGCAAATCCAAATGCTCTATGTTATATATATCCTGTTTGATTGCTTCCATCAAATGAAGAAGCTTCCCTGCTCCTGCACGTTTTCAGATTCAACATACTCTAAGTACATGTATTAGACCTGATTCAAGCTTCTGCTAGCCTAATCTCCCTTCATGGCTAACGCTATCTTGATTGAAGTTGCAATATCATCTATCCTAGAGTTAACCCAAGAATGAAAGTTGCTGGCAAAGTACATAGTTTTCATTATACTATTATGCAGTATTTTTTTGATGTTCAACTATGATTCAGTATTTAATCCTTATTGAAATGTAGGAGATTATGTCTTCACTGGAGGAACATTGTGCTACCAGAATAAACCAAATTAACCAATGAAACATAACCCAAGAAAGTGAACTGTATTCTACCCTTTCCCCTCTTGCAGATTAGCATGTCTCAGTAGTTGGAGCAAACAACAGATTAAGTAGAAAAAAAAAATATGATCCTTATCACAGCCGGGTAGTTTCAGGCATCTTGTCCCCTCAATTTTTTCTCTATTCTAATTGCCTTCCTTAGTAAGAAAAGAATATTGTTCATTCCATTCCTTCCCATCTATGGCAACATCGGAAATAACAGAAGAAATTGATGAAAATGACCCATCTACCATCAACTATAAAGCTCAGAGGGAAAGAATCAGGCGAATTATAGCCTACCAAAAATCTCTGTATTTTTCTTCGTCTTCTTCCCTGCTTCCTTCAGCTGCTTCATGTTCGTCTTTTTCTTTGCTCGGACAAGTAGAAGTTTATTAGACCTAACGAAAGGCTGAAACACGTCCTTGAAGAGATTATTTGACAGGCAACACACTGGTTTGTCCACCTATTTTCAGGATTATAGCGTTTCCCCAATGACAAAGAGTGTACCTTTGGGGGTAGTGATAAAGATGACAAAATTCGTGATCCGTGGGAAGAAATCAGGAAGATTGGAAATTTGAAATATTTTGAAACTGTTAGCTAAAGCAAATTTGAGTCAGGTGGGAGTTTTAGAAGTATAGAATCCAAGCACGAGAAGAAGAAGAAGAAGAAGAATATGAGAAGCAAACTGACACAAAAGAAGTCATTCAGGAAATTACCAGATTTGGGTTTCTGGAGATGTAGGGGGCTTAGATTCAAGTTGAGGTTAAAAAGGGTTAGGATTATGATTTGTGGTAGACTTTCCTGATTTCATAAGTCATTATCTGAATTACTTGTAAAAGAAACAATTGTTTCGAATCTGAAACCTTCAATCTCAAACCAATAGCAGTTTCTTTAACAATCAAATTAATCTTCCATCTGAGATAATAAATATGAATGTATTCACTTGTAAGTTAAGCCAAAAGTAACTGTCACCCTTAGGACTTTTGTCCATTGATGTATTCATGTTGATGTAGTGGATGTAGGTTACCACCCATGCTGATTAGCTGAACTAAGAATATCGTCTTATCCCATTTGCTTGGAAGAAGAAAATTTAGTATAGATGAACCCCATATCAATTGTCTGATTAAGAAGTATATATTTCTTGGCAGATGACACAATGACCCGATGTCAATCTTCCCATCACACTTCCATCGTCGATTGTCAATCTGCTACTGTGCTTGTTCCATAGACGAACCTCTTGAGTCCTTGACTCCTTTGGTTTAGCTGAAATGGCTTATCTTCTATCCATCCGTATTCAACCTGGATTCTCGGTTTTTAAAGAGACGTCCTATATTACCCCAATGAGCAGGATAAAAGGCCATGGTGGCAATATGCAGATGTCGTAACCAGACATTCCTTCAATTTTCCTGACTACCCTGGAAACAAGATAGGGTCCATTGTGTCCCCATTCACTTTCGTTGAAAGTTAAGGCAAAATCTTATATGAACTTGAATAAAAGTTGATGGCTTTTGTCGAAGACAAGAACTGCATTGCTCAATACTCTCCATTTCCTGGGCACCTTGTACATACTCTGTGCTCCAATTGAGTTTCTCAGCTCCTTGAAACTTTTCAGGACGATGAAATCTGTATCTATGTAAATCCCTCCATACTTGTACAGAACTGCAAGCCTGATCAGGTTGGATAGATTCTGGGCTAATGGAATCTTGCCTGGGTCTTTTCTGTGAGAATAAACCAATTAAATAAGTCTATCCTATTCTACCATTGTCTTCTTTTGCAGCTCAGCTTCCCTCAGAACAAAAACATTTAAAAAAATAAATACGATCCTTATCAATCTTGGCTTTTGCATTTTTTTCCAGTAAGTTTCAGGCATCTTAGATCCTCCCTTGAATTTCTCGTCTGTTCTACTTGTCTTCCTCCCTAAGAAGAGACTATTTCTCATTCCATTCCTCCTCCTCTAGGGAGATGTCCGAAATAACAGAAGAAAATGATGAAGATAACCCTTCTATCATCAACGATAAAGCTCTCAAGGAAAGAATCAGGCGGATTATAGCATACCAAAAGTCTCTGTATTTTTCTTCGTCATCTCCGTCTTCCATGTCTTCTTCAGCTGCTTCTTTGTTCATCTTTTTCTTCGTCTCGGACAAGTAGCAGTTTAATAGACCTGAGAAAGGCGGAAACATTCAGAAGATTGCCAGGTTTTGGTTTCTGGAAATGCAGAAGATTTAGATGCAGGTTGAGGTTGAGATTGAGAAGGCTTAGAATTATGATTTGTGGTAGAATTTACTGATTCTGAAATGACCCATATGCAAATCCCATGCTCTATCTTAAATCAAATTCGACTGTTTCCATCAAATGAAGTTTCACTGCTGCTGTATGTTTTTGGATTCGAGGTAGTGTTATTCATAGAGTTGTTCCAAGTATATGTATTATAACTTATTCGAGCTTC